GCATGCTGGCTCGAGACGGGTTTAGGAAGCCAGAGACAAAGGGAATACAAGTCTGTACACCTGCAGCCTTTAAACGCTTCACAGAAATTAGTAAGAAACCCTGAGCCTGGAGCTGGTGGTTCTACGTTTGTGTTTAAATGATTCCTACACCCCGCAGACTGAGAACTGAGGAAGCACAAACAATTTCCCTGGAATAAGACCTCCCAGAGCACTGAGGGAAGAAATTACAGTCTAAACGCTAGTGCAGGGGCTGTGTCCATCATGGACTCAAGAGGCTTGCCTAACACAAGCTTGGGTCTTCTTTTCTGTTGATCACACCACCTCTACCAAACCTTTAATAAAATCAATGGTGAGTCATGTATTCAGCTTTCTCTCTGGAAAAAAAAAATAACAATGCACCTTGCCTTCATTCATTCTTGGAATTCAAAAGAGAAAGCACTGGGTGCTTTAATCTTGAGCTTAGTTAACGAGATGCATTTTGAGCAAGTGAGTTTTATGGCAATCCACGACAATCACCAGCCCTGAAAACACACTTTTGTGCCTAACCTTGGCACCTACACTGTAATCACTATCCAGCAAGACTTAATATCCCCCATTTAAGAGAGAAAATAACATTTACCACTGTGTGGTTTAACATGAGCAAAGTCCACATTTGAAAATAACATCGTGAAATCCATTAATTTGTTCAAATAATGTATGGTAATAAAAATTTACTAAGTGGATCACACTAGATCTTTCCATATCCCTACTTTATGTGGATCGCACTAGATCTTTCCATATCCCTACTTCATGTGCTCTCCTAATTGAGGCCAGACTTACATAAGAAATCAAGTTGCCATTCGGCCTTCCATTGAAAACACCATATTTGTCTGTAACTCTCAGAATCCATGCTTAACCACTGGTCTAAGCTACACAGCCCTTCCCCAAGCCCAATCACCCATGCAGAGTATTGGCTCCAGTTCGCTATGGCAGTGAAGTCCTGAGAGTCTAGACTACAGCTCTAATTCTCACCTTGGGTCCTTTCATCTCCTCATCTGTCTCTCCACTGAGTTCCCATGAGAGCACACTGTGTGAGGTCCCAAGCCAACGTTGCATATTTTTTAACAAGTATCTACTTCTAATTCCATCTTCTGTGCCTTCTCCCGGTATTCCCGTGCAGGGAGCCTCCTGAGGTGCAGTCAGCCCCTGCTTTCTTCTTTCCTTCCAGATCACTGTTTTCAGTAAGAGGCAACGGGTCCATTTCAGTGCTTGGGACACATACATGTGTGTGCGCGCATATGCCCTTGAATGTCTGTGATCTTGTCTCAAGCACATCTTCACCAGGCATAGCCCTTTCACTGTGGCCAGAGTCTACATGGACCAAAGCCCTGGCTCTGGGCTAACCCATCCCACCTAAGCCGAAACAGGCAGAGAGCCCAGGACAGAGCTCCAGGGAGGCTTATGGTCTCATGTCTAACTAACAGCTGTTGTCTGATACACAATGGGATTGTCTCGCCAAATACTTTCCAAACAGGGTGATAGGGCATGTCATGTTTTAAATCCATTCTCCATTAAAATCTCACTCCAGGCTCTCCTAAATTAGTTTTTTTGTTTGTTTGCTTGTTTGGTTGGTTGGTTGGGTTGGTTGGGTTTGAAAAGCCACTTAAAAGCAAACCCCCAGTGAGGACCTAGGACACTATATTTGCTCCCAGGAATTCTTTTTAGCAAAGGGAGGCTCTTCCTTCTTGCACATGGTACTTCATAACCTTGGGCCTTGTTGAGAAGATTTCAAATGTGGTTACTCTATTTAAGCCTACATTTCGATCCCTACAAAATTATTTCCCAATGCATCTCCTAGATGGCCCCAAGCATATCTGACATACTTTAATACTGATGAAAAGCAGATGCCCCAAAACCACCTCCACTCTCACTCCGACACTGCCCTAAATTTGGATTTATTTCCTTTCTATACTTATTTTTGTTCTGCTTTTTTTAATAAATTTATTTTTATTTATTTATTTTACACCCAGGCTGCAGTCTCCCCTCCTTCCTCTCCTCCCAGTCCCTGTCCCCTGACCCCAACCCCTCTCCCCACCCCACAATCCACTCCTCCTCCATTTCTGTTTAGTAAAGGGCAGGTGTCCCATGAGTGTCAACCAAACACGGCATATCAAGTCCCTTTCTACACTTCAGCTGTTCTACTTGACAGATGTCAATCCCCTGGCGGTGAAACAATAAATAACAGTTCTGAGGTATGAAAACCACGCTGTGTTAAGTAGTCCAGTTTAGAGCCAGCTTCAGAACCAGTTTCCTGTTGTCCCTTCCTCCCCTTCAAGGCCACAAGTCCCAGAAGGACAGAGCTGACCCCAAGGAGCCTTTGGCTTTTCGGGATCTCTTCTGTCCAGCCCAGGTTTACATTTACTCAAGTGAGAGATCTCTGGAGATTCTGCAGCTACAGTGAACCCTGAGGGCTGCAGAAGGAGACTTACAACACACACACACACACACACACACACACACACACACACACACACACACACACGCACATGCTCCAGCCCCCAAATAAGCCTGAGGGCAGAAGGACAGCAATACCTCTCTCTGCTTTGACTGACAACTAGTCATATAAGCACATAATGGTCATGTGCCTCCAGGCCTGCCTGGAAGCTACTCATACTAGAAGCCATGTGTATAGTTCATCCAACTAAAGAGAACCTTTGGGACTTGGTGCCCTTCCCAGTTCCTCAGCGGTTTGTCCCCTTTATTAAATTTTAAAGCAGATTTGTTTTAGTCAAAGGATAAAATTCCTCTTTTCCAAGGAACACCATCAGCCAGGGACTTGGAGACTGGCCAGCAGGGGGAGCTCAGGAGCAGTGGTGTGGATGAGAAGTCGAGATGGGTGCAAGGGAATGTTGGGGTGTTTGTTGAAGGACTGGGGACACAGATGCAGAGTCTGCATTTTAGGGGCTTTTACCCACAGGGTTTAAAGGAATGAACACTCAGGCTATGACACTATCTCATGGATAGCTGGGACAGGGTGGGGTGTGTGCGACTGCCCTAAATACAGATTCAGCAGAAAGGAGGTTGTGATCCTAATTGTGGGACACGCTCTGGGACAGAGCTCCTCCCTGGAGATGCACATGGTCAAGAGATCTGCCGAGTGCCCAGGGAGGGCCTGGAGGACCTCCCTAGCATCATGAGCCTCAACAGGAAATGGGTGGAAGGGCGCTGCCCCAGTTGCTAACTGACACAGGAGAAGGGCCCCTGCTGCAAAACTAGTCTGCTCTCTAGGCCCCTCCTTGGTGAGACTCTGTTGAGTTATGGATGGGAAAAGCTGACCACACAGTCGACCATCCCTTCTTACTGCAAACAAGGTGAGGTGTTTCTCTAAGTCTTGTGCTTCTGAAGTCTCAGTGAAGCCTGGAAGAAAACCCGCCCTCCACACAGAAAGGAAAACAGACCTTGTCCTCAAAGCCCTTGTTCATCAGAGCCCCGGCTTCCTTTCCCCAGACACTCGCCTCCTTCTGCTCCTTCCTGCCCCAGCTGTTCAAAGAGCCCCATGTGCATTTGGACACCATCAGGAACCTGGAACCAACTACTTCAGTGTGAGCAGGCCAGTCCTGGATCTCCTGATTGGTGGCTGGTGGCCTTGAATCAGTCAGTCACTGCTCTGTGGCTCGGTTTCCTCATCCGTCACAGACTGCCCCGGGTATCGAGAGGCTCACAGAAGGGGACACATGTAGGAGTGCTTGGCACACTGCTCTCAGCACTTACACCACGAGGCAACCAATGGCTGTCACTGTGGCTCCTGTTCCCAGGGTTGCCAGGAGACTCCCATCTCCCAGCCCAGATCCACCCCCCTCCCCCAAGCTCTTGGCTCTGTCCCACGTCCTGTACCTCAGTGCAGCACCACCTCGCCCTTCTTCCTGTTAATATCCAAAGTCTCCCGTCAAAGAGAGGAGAGCCGTGAGGAGGCATTCGATTTCTGAAGTAGTTAATTCTACTCTAGACTTCCAAAAAAAGATCACCCATCTGTCAAACAATTTTTTAAATAAAATAAAAAGACGATAACCGATCTCTCAAAGTAATTAAGTATCAACCAAGGGTAAATGAAAACGGACTTGCCCAGGCTTCTGGTTGAAAGAGGATAGCATTGTATAACCCCAAATCTTCACGTGGGAGAGATTACAATCTCTTCTTAAGAGAAAAATATTCAAGCCACCAGTTTCCCCCAGCATAACATGTTCTGTATACACATAATCATAATCAAAGAAGGGTCTTCAGCTTGAAATGTGCTCTTCTGCCAACACCCCCTGGTGTCTCAGAGGTGGCAGTCTGTCTGTCTGTCTGTCTATCTGTCTGTCTCTCTCTCTCTCTCTCTCTCTTTCTCTCTCTCTCTCTCTCTCTCTCTCTCTCTCTCTCTCTCTCTCTCTCTCTCTCTCTCACACACACACACACACACACACACACACACACACACACACACGCACACTCAGGCTTGGACTTTGTATGCTTCCTGGGGCTCAGATTAGCTGATTAATGGCAAGCCATCCCTGTCACAGGCAATGCTGCAGGAGCTGCCACCCCAACCCAAATCCTCACCCCCTTCTCCACCCCTCATCTGAGGCCGGATTTCCCAGGTGGCTGGTTCTCTATCTGCTAACACTCAAATTGTGACCCAAGAAGACACATGAGGACACACTCCCTGGAAGAAGCCTAGACCTTCATGAGATAATCAAACAACTAGCTTTCTCCTCAGAGGTACAAAGCCCGAAGTCATAGATCAGAAATAATACAGCTACCCCTTGTTCTTTTTATGGCTAATTTCAAAAGTTGTAAACTTAACCAGTTTCTACACGGCCATTCAAACCAAGCTATCAGGAGACTCTATCCTCAAAGCAAATAATGACAAGGTTCGTTTGCCCCTCAGACCCTCTGGGCACCCTTCATGTTTCTGAGACTCCCAGAGGTGCGGACCCTTCTCACTCCCCGGTTTCCCTGGGCTAAGTGCAAGCATTGCTCACCTCACTCATGTTGGCCTGACTCCGCAGCTAGGTCCCACAGAACAGCACAGAAGGCAATGCTCAGGGGTGGCTGTTTCTCTGGTCCTGGCTTTTCTCTTAAAAAGAGCTGCTGGGTGGCATCATGCCTCCCGCCAGCCAATGAGATGCATTCACCTGTCTGAACGCCTGCAGACATCCAAGAGTGCAAAGAGCCACCTAGTGGAATAGAGTGAAACTGCATGGCAGGTCTCTGCTCCGCTTCCATCCAGGAGCCAAGGAATTTGCTGAACACCAGCGCATCCACCCTAAAAGATCTGACACCCTACCACAGAGATATTTGCTCATCCATGTTTGTGGCTGCTCTGGCCACAATAGCAAGGAAAGAGAATCAGCCTAGTTTCCCATCAGCAGATGAATGGATAATAAAAATGCGGTACAGTTGGTTTAATTCAGCAATGGAAGAAAAGGAATCGTGACATTCGTAGTGAAATGGATGGAACTGGGAAATACTTATAGTAAGTGAGGTAAGACAGACTCGGAAAGACAAATTTCCTGCTCATATGGAGATCCTGACTTCAACTCTTTACATGTGTTTATTTGAATGAGGGTGGGTTCAAGGGACAGGGGTGGGGAGGGTAAAATAAGACCTGTGATGTGAAAGTGGACAGGGAATTCGGGAGGTAGAGGGTATAAATGAGGAAAAGGGGCAAGGAAATGGGAGAGAAGAGGGCCTGGGGACAGCCAACCAAAACTAAGGATTATGAAAGGCCATAAGGAAAACCTGTTGCTTTGAAAGGTTTTTTTTTCTCTTTTTAATTTAAAGGAGAGATAAACATAACAATCACAGGCATGCAGCCAGCCACAGGACTGCCACTGTTGATGTATTGGGAGGTATGAGATTCACACTCTCAGGGAATATATCTCACATGTCTGTAATTTACAGGTTTGGTTTCCCAGTGAGGAGCAATGGGAAACCAATGGGAAGTGGCTCTTGTCCCTCTGAGCTTCCAACCACTGTCTCCTCCCCCCCTTTGGGGACACCAGCCTCAGACTTTAGAGTGTACCAGTTCTGTCCCCTGTCCCTCACCCCTATCTGTCTGTCTGCTTGGACCCTAGGGTAGAAGGACATGAACAGGTGTGTGTTGTGACCTTTGGGGTCAAACACTCCTGAGTCCCAATCGGCAGTGATGGGGAGCAGCTTTTTTCCTTTAGGGTTCTCACAGCCCCACCTATTGAACAGGATGCCAGGAAAGGTCTCCTCACCCTGGGCTCCTCACCCTGGTCCTGTCTAGCCTTGTGGGTTAGAAGCTCTTTTTTCCCCTTCAGTCCCTTGGGAGCCTTGATATCCACAATGTAGTGTCTGCCAGATGAGGAGCATTCACAACCTGTGTTTTAGCTGATCCCAATGAGCATCAACATGACTAGAAAGACCAGGTCAAGTGCCCCAAAGCCTTTCCTAGTGTCCCCAATGCCTGTCCAGCACCTCCCTGCACCCAGAAGGGCCTGCATCACACCCTGTCTACTGGTTTCCTCTGCTCAGCTGTGTTCTCCCCAAGCTGTCAGCCTTATGTCCCCATGCCAGCATCACAGCCATCTTTCCATGTGTCTCCAAATGCAAAGGAGCAAAGCCAGGCACTCTGCTAAGAGCTCTGGTCCATGCACATGGGTGTGGCACGGACAGCAGCAAGCCAGAACCTCACCTACAGCTCCTACGGGTGCCCTGCCTAACTCAGAGCCATTGTCCTGGGCATCCTATCTCCCAAGTGTGTGGAAGCACTGGCTGCTCACCAGGGTACATACTTCACAGAGCGAAAGATGTGGGTAGTATGGTATACAGTATATGCATACATATATGCTATTGTGTATATTATATGCAAATTAGTTATGCATCCTAACCAAATAAACTAGTAAGGACAGTGCCCTCTTCATCCTCTCCTTCCTCTTCCTCTCTGTGCTCCCAACTCACCCTTATGAAGGCTCAATATCATGCTATCCTTACATATCCCCAGGCTCTGGAAGTAGACCCAGGACCATAGTGCTATCTGCTCTGCAAATAACCAAGATAAAGGGAAGCTCACTATCCTCAGAGGAGACCATATAGCTTCTGAAATGCAACCACTCCATCCCTCCCAAAAGAGGCTTGAACCCAGGGTGCCATATGGTGAGGACACAACCCTTCAATGGCAACCTTCACAGAGTTCCACATGTGTTTTACAGCCTGGGTTGCTGCAGAGAAGTCACTGAGAGCCAGCCCTTACCTGCTCACCAAATGCTGCAGCAGACCTGAATTTTCTACACACACACACACACACACACACACACACACACACACACACACACACACACACACAAGCTTGCATGCTTGCAGCATGCTGGGTCTTGGGAAAGAAGAAACAGATGCTAGGATTCCAAGAGAAAAAGCTTAGACTGGACATGCCAGGCAGAGCTGCAGTGTTAGTGAGTTGAATGCACAATTGTTAGGGATTAACATGGAAGAGGAGGTGGAAGCTGTCATGGCCTGAAGTGGGTACCACTTTCCAGTTAACTAATCCCCAGTAGCTTGAACCATGCCTGATTGGGCACAGAGTCTTCACGGAGCTAACCAACATTAAGAGGGGCTGTTGGAATAGCCTAGTTCGAAACTCCTGGTGTCCTCATGAGATCAGGGCGCAAGCACACAGAGAGAACAACCTTGGGAGGCACAGAGAGAATTCGCCATCTACAAACCAAGGAAGGACCACAGAGAAAGCCTTCACTGAAATGTCTTGATCCCTAACATCAATCCTCTGTGTCTGTGGTGTAAACTGGATCATGTAAGTATGGAGTTGCACCTGTTGTCTTTGAGACATGCACATGCAAACATACGCACAAGCAAAATCAGACACGCCCACAAAGGCACAGTCACACTCACCTGTGAAAGTGGGGGGCACATGCTTGTGAGTAAGTAGGCACCAAGCACACAGCCATCATCTCCTAATTGGCCAGTGACTCCTTCAAGGTTGTAGAGTCCCTGGAGAACCAGGCCTCAGCCTGAGAATTAAAAGAACTCCGTAGCCAACATCTCAGAATCTCTGAGCCTGGGGCTGAGGACAGTAAATGTTCTCGCGCCTTTCTGAGCAGTTCTGATAAGCAGTCAAATTCGAGAACCACTCAAAACAGTTATAAGGGACAAACACACATGTGCACACACATACATACACATATATACACATGCATGTAGACACACATATGTATACACATATATGCAAACACACACAAATACTTGCACACATATACACATACATACATAGACACACACACATACATATACACATAGGCACACACACATTTATCACTCACTCCATCTAAACATTCCAGACTTTCCTCTCCCAGTCCTGCCTAGCCCCTTCCCTCTTTTAGGGCCATCTTGGTTATTGTTTGATTTTATACACTGACATTCTTCAGTATCTGAGGGGAGCCATTCCAGGATCCTCCATGGATGTCGAAATCTGCAGGTGCTCAAATTCCTTGTTGAAAATGGTGCAATCTTGGCAGAGGATTCTCTCTGTCCTTTCTGCTATCCCTGGGTCACTTGTACACTATGACTGTTGTACAGAATTGCTCAGGAAATAATAAGGGGAAAAAAAAGCCTCCCCTCAGTTGCAATCCTTCCTCAGACAACCCTATCTGACTCTGCAGATGGGGATCCCACAGATCACATAACACTACATCACACAGTAGGTGTCACGTGGACCAGGAACTTAGAACCTGAGCGCAGGTGTGACAAATAGTTTTGTATAACTTTATCAATGTCTTTCTGATCCTCATTGTCCAATTTCCTCTACTGGTTAACAAAAATATTAAGACTTTGCCTCTGATGACCTAAGCTCTGTGTGTGTGTGTGTGTGTGTGTGTGTGTGTGTGTGTGTGTGTGTGTGTGTGTGTGTGTACTAAGTATATTGAGTTGAGCTAGGAAATAAATGTTTAAAGAACTTGAGGAGAGTCAGATTTATGGCTTCATGTATTACATCAGTTCATGTTTCACTCTTGCTATATTACAATATAAACAGCTTTTGTAATTTACAATTTATGAAAACAGTGCAGTGTGTGTGTGTGTGTGTGTGTGTGTGTGTGTGTGTGTATACTCATGCATTAGAGACATACTCTTGCCTGAGGGGGCAGAGCTTGGCCAAGAAATTGATGAAACCATAGGCACATTCTATTTTCGATTGGGGGCTTTTAATCAGACTTTTATGTCAAATGCATCATTCTTCAAACATGGAGAAAAAAATTTTAAGCCAGGCCTTGAGTAATCCCAGCTACCCAGAGGCCTGTTGTAATCTCAACTACTTGGGAGGCTGAGGCAGGAGGATGTCAATTTCAAAGCCAACCTGGACAACTGAGTGAGCCTCTGTCCCAAAATACAAAGAGAGTCAGGATGTTGCTTAGCAGTAGACACCTAGCCAGCATGTGCAAGGGCCCAGGTACAATCCCCAGAGAAGAAGGAAGAAAGGATGGAGGAAGGAAGGGAGGGAAGGAGGGAGGAAGGGAGGGAGGGAGGGAAGAAAGGAAGGAAGGAAGGAAGGAAGAAAGGAAGGAAGGAAGGAAGGAAGGGGCGGGCCACCCCAGCCTCCCTCCTGCTTCTCTTGGTTTTGCTGCCTGGCATCTTCATGTTTCGTGGCCCAGGTGGCACTTTGTGCCCACACAGTGCACTGAACCCCTGCACAGGAAGCAGCTTTGGCACTGACAAAGAATACAGGCCATCCTTCAAAGGGACTGCATCAGGGCTTGACTACGGATTCCAGCCTCCATGATACCCCTCCTTTTCCTGCTCCCCAGTCAACTTCTAGGAGAGTCCTGTGTGCCTCTGCAGTCCCCAGCATCCACACCCTAACAAGGGCCCGTGGCTCCCACCTGGGTTTTCATCTCTCCGTCGCTTTGAACATTACCAGCCTGCTGGATGTCACTGGACTCTGAGCCAAGGGGACTCTTTGGTTGTGATGACTCCATGGGGTTCTCCTAGAAGCATGCGACAATGGTCACAACATACCAATGGGTTGCCACTGCCTGTGAGTCTTGTCTTTCCATCTGGGCTTCACACACTTTGAAAGAGGGAGAGGCCAGGCCCTCCCACCCTGCTCATACTTCTGCAGCTCTTAGGAGTCACA